GGAAAAAAAAAAAAAAAAAAAAACAGTAACACGAATCACATGAGCACAGTGATCGACAGGTTTAGGTGCTGCCCAGAGAGGGCTTGACTGCATGGTGTCACGGAGAAACAGTAAAGCGAAGTTTATAAATACACGTGTACGTATGCACACACCAAATCTGGCGGTAACAGAATACAGACCATGTCATATCGGGTTACGGCGCTGAATTAAACATGCGAGAGCATCGATTTAAGACGTGATGGTTGAAAGCGCTTTACGGTGTTCACATTAACACTAACGAGAGATTTTTTTTTTTTCCTTTTTTTTTTACCCCGCTGCTTGCCCGCCTAAGTCGTTCTGCAGCAGAGATCTATGGTAGGAGATGCAGCGGACAGGCTAATTCCTGCCTTTGTGGAGTGTGATGAAGGAGGCGGTGAAGGAGGAGCTGAGCTGAGCTGAGCAGAGCTGCCTGCCAGCTGAGCCCACCAACACCCGCAGCCTGCGGTTGCCGAGGCAACGGGCCTTTGTGCTGGACAGCAAGTGCAGCGGCCCTTCACTGGGGCTGAGATGTGGAGGCTGAGTGTCACGGTGACAGGACGGAACGGGTGCCAGTGGAGGTGAATGGCACTTGATTTGGGGGGGAGGGGAGAGGGGGGCTTAAAAATCAAGACGCAGGGAGGGGCACCGGGGTAAAAAAAAAAAAAAAAAAAATTTTTAAATAAAAAATGCATGATGGGAATTTGCATTTGGCTTCACTGAGGGTGGCTGCTGCGAGGACACCGTGCCTATACCTACCTCGGCTCTGGCCATCTGGTCCCCGGAGAATTCGGCACTCTTCGATCTGTCCGAAGGACGAGAACATCATTCGGACCTCGTTCTCGCCGTACTTCTTTGACACCATTCCAATAAAGAGTTTTCTGTCTTCTACAGCTGTAGAGGGATTAAAGAGCCGCAATTCAGTTACGCCTGAACACAAAAAAAAAGAGCCATGAAAACAACAGTTACACCGAGCATAAAAAAAAAAAACTCTAGGGTGTTTTTTTTGTTTGTTTTTTTCTTTCTAACATTCAAGCTGGGTCTTGTTGTCATGCAGCTGCATTTTCTGCCTCTCGCTGCAAACAGCTTCGTTTTCAACAGTGTCTGCTTCTCTAAAATACTCCCTGCCATCTACTGATGACTACATCGTGCAGTTTCGCTCCCCACTAGATCTTCCACTTCAACTCGTGCACCCCCCCCGCTGCCTTTTAAAGCCCTTAATCCTCCTAACCCTTTGATACTATAGAGAAATTGTGTACCGCTGCACACTCCCTGAGCTGGGATCTGAATTTTGGCTTCACTTTTACACGGTCCAGCCTCAGTCTATTTAAAATTAAAAAAAAAAAAAAACAAACACCTTTGTTGCACGGTTTAACTCATTTTTAACAGTTAGTGTCTGCCAGAATTTCCTCTTTTCTTACCGCTTGTTTTCTCACTGTCAGCAGGTTTCATCTGTATGGGATGATGCATCTGGAAAAAAAAGAAAAAAAAAAAAAAAAGGGCAAAATTTCCTGTTATTTCCTGTTATTCACCAGTGCTGCCTAAACTTAATACCTCAACTAAAATTAATACAAACCCTTTAACTAATAAAAGTCAACTAATGCCTTTGTGTATTTTATGATGGAAATTTTTTTTTTTTTTTTAAATCACAGACAGGAACATAACACCGAACAAAAACATAATTGATCGTCAAAAGATGGAAAAGGAACATAACACCGGTTAATTGATCGTCAAAAGATGGAAACAACCCTGGCGTTTTCCCCGAAATGTCTGCATTTTTCTAAGTTTCTCTAACTCACTGTTAACCATTCACCACCTGTCTGCATTTTTCTAAGCAAAACGACTTACTCTAACCATTCACCACAATCCTATTGCTAATTCTTCAACAAAGTGCATTATGTTGCTTCATTGAATTAAGTCGTTAAAAATGAATACTTAAAAAAAAAACAAAAAAAAAAAACCCAATATGAGCCCTGCTTTTTTCATTTATTATCTCTCATCTTTGTCAGGACTATGATCCATCTCCACTACCAGATACCGAGCGTGTAAGCTGATGGCACGGATCATATTCTCTGCTATCTAATTTCATCGCTCGCTGTAGTGCAGACCGGCAATTGATCTTTATGCCGACGTCCTCACCGTCGTCGTCAAAACTATTATTTGCCAATTCTGTGAAGTTATAGGATTGTGTCATCATCGGCAGAAGCTATTATTACTACTACTTTTTTTTTTTTTTTTTTTTTTAAATCATCCTTTGAGTATCTATTCAGCACAGACATTCGAGCTGCGACTTATTTTTGAGTGGACGCAGAAGAACATTTCAGCGATGACGACAAAAAGAACGGTAGAACCCCATAGGGTAAGTAGTTCACTTTCCTTTCCTTTCCTTTCCTCGAAGTGAATGTAACTCGGGCGCACGTGAACGAAGTGTGAAGTGAGATTCTGTACGGCTGTGAGTTGCCTGGGCAGGTTGTACTTATGAGGAGTGGTGTGTGTGTGTGTGTGTGTGTTGGTTTGTGACAAGCACTAAAGAGAAGCAGACAGATGGTCCTCACAGTGTGGGTTCTGGATGGTGATGCCGTCCAAGGAGAACGACACAAGGCACAGAAGGGAGAGAAAAATAAATGCAGGGAGGGAAACAAAAAAACAACAACAAGCTTTTTCTCTTCTCCTGAAAACCAGACTCAAGTCACCTGCACCCAGTGCCGGGAACAAAACCAGACTTAAGTCACCTGCACCCAGTGCCGGGAACAGTCTGACATGGAGCCGGGCAGTTAGACAACACTTTATTTGAACGTCTCCACTGATTGATAGTCCTTTCGGTGAAGAGCACCAGCTCTGTACACTCATTCGTCAAACTGGTTCAATATTTACCTGTAACCCCCACCGACTGGTAGCCGCGTTTCCAATGGACCCCGGGGCCATTGATTTCATTGACAGCGCGAGTTGCTCGGTATGGATTTAAGTGATTGCGTGGAAAGTAAATTAGAGCGGAGTTAAAGCGGGGCAGATTTGTCGAGCTTTAACGAGCCTCTGCGTTTCTTCCAGGTGACCGGACCGTAATCGCACGGGATAAATCAACTTGATGTATTACTCATGCTCGCCTTCCATTTGACTGTTTAAAAAAAAAAAAATCCTCACTCCCATTTTTCCCCCCTTTCACTTTTTAAAATGAATACGAAGATGTGCATCAATGATTCACACGGCGGAGCGTTAACGATTTGTTCTACTTTCGTGGTGAATTGTTCATGTGCCTCACTGGATATAAAATGATGTCCGGTCAAGCACGCTTTACCTGTTGATACCTTTGCATGTGTGTGTGTGTGTGTGTGTGTTAAACACACACAACGTGTTTGCGGGCCAGGCCAGGCAGGCAATCAAGCCAAGAGGCAAACGTGTTTTAATACACATTACTCACGGTTTGAACAAGAGGAAGTAAAAGGGGTGGAAGTAGGTAAACAGTCGTCCCATATCAGGGCGTACTCACCCCACTTAAGGTCTTAATGTTGTGCAGTGCATTCTGGGCCTCCAGTGCAGCTTTTCTTGTATAAAAAGTTACAAAACAGCATCCTGCGGAGAAGACAGTGAGGACAATGAAATGAGCCAAGGCGACATGTGACATAAGCAGTAGATGTACAATCTTACAGGAGAACTTTGAATAATTTAGTCGAGCTCTTAACACGTCCCCGTGTTACAAACGTGTCAGAATTGTTACACAGCTCACAGCTGAAGCTTGTACTGACAAGTGTTGACATCACCGCAGGCTTTTTTATGACATGGTCAGTGGGATGACAACCGGGGTGAGATAACTGTCAAAGACACACTGATGCAGCGTGCAGGTCAAGACACCCTGGGCAAGACGGAGCACAGAACCAATATAACAGATCGTTGCTGCTCGGCGCAAAAATACGATCGCTTATACGAGAGGCATAGAGGAGAAAAAAAAAAAAAACTGCTCGAAAATGGTGAGAGGGAGCAGAAGTGAGAGCACAGAGGAATCAGAGGAGGAGTGAGTTTGGGGGAGGGGACAAAAGAAGAGAAGAAGAAGAGTGTGGTGGAGAGAGTGGGGGGAAAAGGGGAAGAAGAAGGGGAAAAAGAAAAAAAAAAGCCTCTCATCCTTCCGTCCCAGCAGACTGCCGGTGGCGTTCCAGCCTGTCAGTTTCACTGGGCTGGGGAAGTGGAGCACTGCAGCGTCTTTGACCTACATAGTTTGTATTATGCTGTTACTGGAGCTCCCAGGCCATGGCGAGGAGGGAGGGAGGGACGGAGGGACGGACGGAGGGAGATAGGGAGGGAGATAGGGCAGTAAGGGGGGGGGGGGTTTGCTGTGCAACTCCAGTCGGCAGCAAGCAGCTCCCTTTTAATCTCACGGGGCCGCTTAGCCCCGCCTCCAATTTACCCTGGGCTAAATAAACCGTGCGGAGAGGCGTGATACTTATCAGGTGATTCGGGTTATGACCTGCAGCCAGTGTGTGGCTCTCTCTCGGAAAAAAAAAAAAACAACAACCCCCCCGAATCGGACCTCATGGCAAAATATAGGCGCATGGGATCAATAATAAAAGAAGAAGAGCGAACAGGATTGGACAAAGGTAGTGTTATTTGCCCATCTAAACAAACAAAGCCTGATAGCCTTGGGCAGTTCTTTGATCATCCTCCCTCCCTCTGTGTTTGCAGTTTACACATTGGTAACGGTGGACCGAGGAGTGCCGGTTCTGCCGTCACACATTCAGCTCACCCACGGGCTGTGAGAGGCAACGTTCACTGCGATCAGGCGAGTTTACCTATTAGAATACATTAACATGTCAATAGACCGTCACAGCTGACACTCCACTCCGAGCAACCCCCCTATATACACAGAATGCATAGTAAGCACTCTGAACCAATCGTGTTTGCCACCGTGCCGTAAAAAAAAAGCATTTGTGAAGGCCGTCTTGATGAGGTCACAGGGCATGTTTTCGGAGCGGTGGCACGAGCGAGGTGTCGTCCTGAACATTTCGTCGTTTGCTCGGACGACGGTGACAGACAATTCCACTCCGTTATGAGCTCATCTCCTCACTGCAGCAACTGAATCACTACTTCGTAATTACAGATAATTCAGAACGAGGGTACTGCAGTAAAGCATTTCTATATTTGTGATAATAATGCCGGTAAAAACGCATCACAACATGTAACGTTTTTTCAGAGGCCGCAGTAGCAACATGTCGAACCTGTTTGCCTCATTTGTTGATCTACGCAGTAGCTCACAAGGTTATGCTAACGCTCCCTGTAGCGCACAACTGAACAGGATGTTGTATTTAGGGCAGCAAGAACGGGCAACTGTGGCGTCCAATTAAAATTGAATGAGGTGTGAATGTGTGAAATAACTCTGTCCATCAATGCAACCATCAGTTTTAACTCTCAAATAAATTAAAAATATATACATTTCTTTTTGTATGTAAATAAAGACATTTTAAATGAAACTTTACTTTTCAATTCAAACTCAATTCAACTTTTTTTCAATATTTAATTATTATTTGATGTTATTGGATTTTAAATGTAAATGGTCGTGGTTTTTGTTGGGGGGACAGGGGCAAGTGGGGAATGACCAAAAAAAAGCATGGAGTGATCACATTAGGTCTGTAAATAACTTTTTTTGATTGGATCATCTGTTTGGACAATTTAGTTAAGACAGCAGTGTTGAAACTTTCCTGTTTTTAAGATTCTACTTTTTCCCCCCCAATAATTTTTTTTTTTTCCCAAAACAGAATCGGCACTTTTAGATCAGGCAGTGCATATTAAGTTCAACCGAATAATGTTTGTTTTTCTGCTTCAACACCAAAAGGACCGTCAGCACTGGGTGCTTACACTGATAAAAAAAAAAAAAAATACAGCCCCAATGGAGAACATTTTGTTTTTTATCACAAAAGGCCACAAAGTCGTTTCTTTGAAAATGACTGTAACGCAACACAAAAAAAAAAAAAATGTCCAAATTCTGGGGACTTCAATGAGGAGCTCAAAGATGAATAAGTCTGTGGAGACTGTGAGTGAGTCCACACATTTTAGAATGTCAACACTGCTCCCTATGTGGTCCTGAAATGTTGGCATTTTTTTTATCACAGTTTATTAATGTGACCGCAACACTGAAGTCGAACCCCTTTTGAGCTTCTGACAGCCAGAGTTAATTCAACACACCAGTAGATGACACAGTTCTCAGTAGGGCAAAAAAAAACCTGATCGACTCCCAAGCAGGGAGGTCATTGCATTGGCCAACACAAATCGGAACCTCTCACCGATATAAATAAACAGTGGCACGTGATGTTATTTTCAAATAGCTTTTTCCAAACAGTTTTGGGGGGGCTTCTAAAGTTGTTGACTTCAGTGGAGACGGCATCTGTTCAGAGCCAAATATTGACAAAAACCACCGAAACGACAGCGACGGGTCAGATACATTCATTGGCAGGTGTGGCTGTAAATACTGTGCAGGAATTAACACGCATGGGGTGGAGAAATAACAGTATTTTTCTAACGGTGCAAGTGTCTCTTGACACTTTTAGACAAATTGTTGATTTTTTTTTATATTTAAAAAAATAGAAAATTATCAATTACAATGGTAACAGGCTCAATTAAATGCAGAAGTGCCATCATTCTGTTTGTCTTCAGTGCTAATTTGCTAATTTGATTTATAAATTGCCATAATTGTCTCAAAAGTCGTTCGGTCATAATTCCAATGATCTTGATCTAATTGTGAAATTCCCAGCCCTTATAAACAAGTGTCTACAGCCTCTGAGACCTGACCAGCCATTAAGGGAATTGAAATTAGGATGATGTCCTGCCTGCACTGGGCTACATCAGGGGAGTAAAGTACTTTATTCACATGCAGTTAGTTACAGGAGACTGAGCACTTCCAGTGCCACTCCGGCTCTCTCTCTCTCTCTCTCTCTCTCTCTCTCTCTCTCTGCGCAGACAGCAGCCTTCCACTTCTAACCGTCTCTTTTAATTGCACCTTGAAACGAATGGCCCTGTTCTAGCACTACTTCAAAAGATGCTTATGTTGATGGATGTTTCCAACGGCTGTCAGAAATCCAACATGGTGACACACAAAAAAAAAACTTTTATTAAAGGATGTTTATTTAAAGCTGAAAATAAGTCTGGTGAATCAGGCCATATGTTTCGCACAAATATAGCTGCACTACATGTGCAGACAAGTGCTGCTGTACTTTGCCTTAGGGGAATGTACTGAAATGTGATGGGAGGTGATGTGGCAGTAGCAGGGGTTTTGTTTAGTGTCCTTGACCATGTGAAGTCAGGCAAATAGCCAGAAGTAGGCTGTGGATTTTTTTTTTTTTTTTTTTTTTGTTCTTTTGAATCACAAAACTAACCAACCTTTATTTTATTTTCACTTCTTTAGTATAAAAAAAAAAAAAAAAAAGATCAACAAATAAGTTAGAGAACAACATTTAACATTCAGCGAGGCATCAACAACGAGACAACAAATAATCAATAACTCATTGCACTGAACATGCATGTCATACCTTTGCTTTGAGGGGGGTTCTGGGTGCGATCACGGAGAATGTTGATCTGGTGCACAGCTCCAAAGGGCTCAAAAAGCTCTTTGAGTTCTGTTTCAGACCAGGAACGGGGAATCTGTCCCACAAACATTTTGATGGCGTCAGGATCTGGCTGGTCCAAATGCTCCAGTGACCCATTCATCTTGCTGCCATTGCTGAGGAGAAAAAAAAAAAAAAGCAAAGTGTGTAAATTAGAGATGTATGCCTTTATATTATTTACTTGAAACTTGGCGCGTCCTTTCAGGAAGTGTCTCTGCCTCAAAAAAAACAAACAAAAAAAAAAATCCACTGAAGCAACAGGGAACAGAGAATAGTGGCACTGCACTTTTTTTTTATCATGATTGATGTTCCCTCATTCAAAAGCATAAACCATCATAAAATGTGTATTAAGCTGAAAAGAAAGTGCATTTGACAGGTAGAGTAGGATGAGTGTTGTTTTATTGTTAGAATATTTTCCCTAATATGGAACAGAGATGTGAGGCAATATAAAATGCAGCGAGGCCTTTAAACTTGAACAAGCCGTGAGGTGGTGGTGGTGGACGGTTAGTAGAATTAGCTTAGCTAAGACTTACGTCTGGGGGAACAACAACCCAGAGGAAGGTAAAATGTTAGGCTGTTTCAATTGGTGGTTTACGTTTCAGATGGGGCATTTGGAGTCGTAAGGCTCCATAAAATATCAATGTTCTGTGCTTTTCTAGACAGTAAACGGGAAATCAAAATGGTTTCAAACTACCATTTATTTGTACAGCAACAAAGCAGTAAAGTTCCACTTTTGCATTACTGCTAAAATATTACAGAAGCTTCGGCAGCAGACCTTGACTAAACTGTTGAAGTTAGACGACGAACGATCTGCAATGATTTGTTTAAAAAAAAAACAAAAAAAAAAAAACAATATTGTCAATTAAATAATTCATGAACTGTGAATTAAATTTAATGACTGTTGGTTAAACAGGGGTTTCATAAAACTGTCATTAGACGTTAGCTGCCAATCGCAAAAAGCGTTTCAATAAACCCTGTTGTTTCCGCAACACGTTGACATTTATCATGTGCTATGCTGCTTGTTAAGATATGGACAAAAAAAAAAAAAGAGAGAAGCCATAACGATATTTGGATGATAAATACAAATGATGTACAAGTGAACTGCACCATCAACTACATTATTGGGCAACAATCTGGGTTAAGAAGGGGAAATAGAGCAATGATAGTGTCGAGCAAAACATCCAATTGTGCCATTTTCCTTTAAGGGCCAGCCTCCGGGACGGAAAATCAATAACAGAGTCCCAGGACTACAGACGGTGTGCCAAACCACAAAAAAAAAAAAAAAATCAAGCACTTATACATTCACTGACAATGGTGAAAAATCAAAAAGTGCTTGATACCAGAAGCCCAGCCAAGCAACAGCTGCTGGAGTACTGTAGTGAGTAAATCACGTAAAGCATAAAAGCATCGCTCACAACGACGTACTGTAGCACCAAGGCAAATCAGGAACAGGGGAATTATTGGTGCACACATGGATTGGTGAGGGTAACAGAAACGATACAGTTGAATAGAAGACATTTTAAGAGACAAACCTTTGGACACGAGCCATCCATCTCTTATAAAATGAGCCCAGCCGTTCCGTAGAAATCCCAAAGTCCTTGAGGGACTTGAGTGACATGGTAACAAATAACACTAAGACTAAGATTCACGCCTCAAAATATACTGCTTGTCAAACAGTCTGTCCAAAAATTTAAATGATGACATAAAAAAAACAGCCAAAAACTCAACAACAAAACAAAAGCTTCTAGGCCAATAAAAAGGGGCGAATGCCCCCTTTTCTCCCATCAGCTTCGACAGAATCAACAAAACAGCGGTGCAGAACTCTAAACCTGCGAGAATCGGAGATTAGTAGCCAACGAATTTGTGGTACATCTCCTCCTCAGGCGCCCTGGCGATGGTACAGAGAGTAACCTACGGCTTCTTCAGCACAGCGGGGGAACAATCACATATTGTTCCCCCCTGCTGGAGAACACTATTCACCGTTCCTCTACAGCACAATAGGGCGAGTCAGAGGGATGCTGTAGAACACGTCGAAAGGCCGCGTCTGCCGAGGACACAGCACTGAGTGAAACCATTTATACAGTTCTGCCATTGACACTGCGTCGCCATTTTGAAGAGGCTCCAGTGATAAGATCTCATCTTAAAAATGAAAAATAAATAAATAAATTTGACTGGTGCTTGATGTTCAACAGTCTCTGAAGTACATGTCGTCTTGATAAGTTTGCACGAGACTTTGCAGCTGCGCAGCCCCTTCAGGTACAAATAACTATATTTCACATCGCCTGAAGTAAAAAAAAAAAAACAGCCTCAAGTGGTAACAACTGTAATTACAGTCAGCTTGGTTCCGACTTAAACTTGTTGGCTAGAAGTATTTAAAACATAGCAAGATCTTCATTGCCATTATTCGATTATTCACATTATCACAGTTCTACCATTTCCATGTTCGATTATTCACATTATCACAGTTCTAACTTACGCTCCAGTTAAAAAGCGGTTTTCTATCAGATTCAGTTCGTTTCATAACCCATATAATTTGGGCCTTATCTGTGGCTCAAACTCAATGCCAAAGATACTGTACATGCAGTACTTTTACTACTTTAAAAAAAATGGAACAAGGCCAGATTACTTGGAACAAGGCCTGATTACTTTTAAGCGCTAGAGCTTGGCTGTAACATTCCCATGACAAAAAAAAAAAAAATATTTCTAAACACATTTTAAGTGCAAGAGCTTGGCTGTAACATTCACATGAAAAAAAAAAAAATTTCTAAACACATGGTCAATTTTAACTGAGCTTTTATAGCCTATACAAAGTGACTCAAAGAGGAAATATTCAGCATCATTACACAACCTTTAGCACTAATTGTTTCTCAAACGGCAAAGATTCAGGAACTAGATCAACCATCAACTGCACCCAATAAACTATGACTGACATTAATACAACAATATATTGCTAATTTGTCTCTATTCGAAGGTAATACTGATAAAAACCACTGCTAAAAAAACAGAGATTATACAGAAAAGTTGCCAATTAGTTATATCAGTCTCTTAGCAACAAATTATGAAGACTTTCAAAGGATGTGATTATTACAAATGATGGTGAATAGACACCTTTCCTTGGCCATTATCATCATCATTATTATTATTTTAATTCTGTTCAAATGCATATCTTCACAAAAGATACCAAATTATTTTCACACTTGGCTACTTTAAATCTGATTTCCTCTAAAAAAAATGTCTACTTTCGTCAAACCTTGATCTCATCATAGTCTCCTCACTTCTGGTAAAAAATACATGCAGTTTTAGTTAAGCTAGTAAACAAGTTTGTCAATGACGCATTAACGTTCTATCCACCTAGTAACAGCACTGGCAACAAGTTAAAACGCCTGACAGAAAAACCACAATATTTTCATCAACAACAACAGTTTTGTTCTGCACAGTTTGTACATTTCGGACGCCTGTCATTTTTAGAACTAGGGACCGTGGATTATTTTCCGTCCATGCTTTATTCGCTACACGGGCTGCTTTTACCGACGCTATTGATGAAGTCTTTTTCAAGGCTTACTCAAACAGCTCTGAATGTGACGGCTCATCACGACGCCGAGACGCCCAGCAGCAGCTGACGCAACAGTTGCACGCTTACTGCTGCACTTCCCATGAGAACAGGTGATTTACTTGGACCATGTGTCTGTCCCGTCGGTGAGCGCTGACCTCTCCAGTATGCCAGTGACATCGACGCCATGTCCGTAGTGGAAAGGCAGCCAATTTGTCTAATAATGTGTGTGGATTTTGATGGCTCAGCATTATAAGCTCAGGAGGTATTTGGGCTTAAAGTTTTAGAGGACTGACACCAGCAAACGATGCGCGTTTGGTTTGCTCGCTTCTGTCAACGACAAAGAATTTCTTTGCAGATCAACATAAGCATAACAAAAAATAAGCGTGACTGCTATTGTTGAGTGCTGATAACTCAACCAAAAACACAACATGAGTCACTTCCTGTTGTAAGAACGAAACTTGAAACTTGAAACGCTTATATAAAGTGCGGAACACTTGAGTCAATTTGAAAAAAAATTAAAAAAAATAAATTTTACCTCATCTCAGAGAAACTAAATAATAAAATAAAAGCTGACAAAACCTTTCAAAAAAAAAAATCACAAGATGCACCTTTGGAACGCCAGAGTCTAACCTCTAAATGGGTTTCACCAAGACACAAAATGGCTCCAACACTGATGATACAGTTGACGCCTGTCAAGTAAAACTGAGCCTCTCCACCACCTTTCTATTTTCTCCACCACTACACAGAGATGTAGAATTCTTTAAAAGAGTTATATAAAAAAAAAAAAAAAAAAAAAAAAAAATTTGGTTAAATTTTTTAAAAAAAAAATTCCCTAAACATTTGAACTTCAAAACACGCCACAGAGAATGAATGCTTAATCTAGAGTGTATTTATACATTCGGCATCAATGTCAATTTTGAAACGGAAACGACAATATTCCCTGCTTGATTAAAATAACTCTTCGTCAAAGCTGATCAGTGTGCTGCCGCTCCTGTTGTGAAATACTACAACGTTATCCTCCTTGCATTTAACTCCAATTACAATACTACAATGTTATCCTCCTTGCATTTAACTCCAATTTATACCAATATGGTTTGATTCAATTGTTGACGTCTCCCTAATGAAGACAGACATGTCCAATCAGCCTGTGAATGGTTTGCATGTTAACAGACAGTCGGCATCCAATGACGAGGCCCGGCCCATTAGCCTCATAATCACACCATGTGTCCCCCGGTGATTATGGTTGATGCTGCTACAGTAGAGCTCGTGTGAGCGAACGGTTTCGTCTATGGCGCTATGGAGACATCATCTATTATTATTCTGCAGGATCTTACTTGGGAATTTCTTAAAAAAACCCATCACAATTGTATTTGGTAGCACTTGGCCTTGAGAGTAGACAGAAGTATTTTAAAGGTGGGTCCTCGGGGCTGAGCACGGTCAACGGGGAAAAAATAAAAATAAAAAAATTTTTAAAAATCACCAATTGAAAGACCAGGCTGAAGGGCAACATGAACCAGAATTATAACTTATTACAGTCTTCAAAACTAGAAGAAAGGTAACGTTTTTTTAATTGAGGGTCCACAAGGTGAGATTTGGAATATTCCTGACAATGTTAGAATAAAATTGTGACTTTTTCCTCCTCAAATAAACACTGAATCTGATGTTAAAAGAAGGATCTGTTTAATTGTTGGCAACCCGTCCTGTAGGGGTTGCAAACAAGATATTTAACCACAAAGAACATTTACACATGTGTTTACATCAGATGTTCTCTAAAAGATAAGCAGGCTTTTGCATATATATTTTTTTTTTTCCGATCACACCCATGTGTTCTCTAAAAGATAAGCAGGGCTTTTGCATATTTTTTTTTTTCCGATCACACCCATTGCAGCATTATAGGAAATGGCTTGAAAACAGAGCAGATAACCCTTGTGCTTCAATCATCATTTTTAAGGTATGTGGAAAAACTAATACTATTTTATGTATTTCATGAATTAGTGTCAGACAATATGGTAAGTGACTGTAGGCTTTGTGCGTCATTTGTGCAAAATCCAAGTTATATTTCACACATTTTCTGCACGTAAACAATCGCCAGTTCTCTTAATAAACAAGACAAAAAAAAGAGGAAGTCACGAGACAGAAGGCCGAAGAGAGCACAACAACAGGCAGATGCTCAACGGCGGAGACAGGAAAAAAAAAAAAAAAAATCACCCTAATCTTGGTCAGCATCATGTCTATCACTTGTTCACAAATGAACAGCCCAACAGTCCACTCGAAGGATCAATTGCTCTTGATCACTTTAACAAAGTGTGCTTGGTTCCCAGACCCAACTATTATCTTGACCTGTTGTTGGTGAGAGAACATCTTGCAGATACTTTAGATGCAATCATGTCGCTCTATTTCAAGTCGGTGTCAGTGTCTGCAACACAAAATTTTTTTTTTGAAACACTGCTCCATTCGACATCTCTCAGATAACCAAGGCTACGTCCACTATTGTGACCAAAGACACTATCACAACCTTGTTGTGGCTCAATAAAAGAAAAACACCTCAATATATTTAGACAAAATGGAAACCGACACAGAGATAGCATTTATTATTTGAAACTTTCACACCTTATGCCTTTAATGTCTGTTTCTTCCCGTGATTATATTTTGACTGGTTTAACCATTTTCAAAGGCCCCAAGGCCATTATTTTAAACATCTTGTCTAACAAGACACACAGGCTTAAAACCAACATGTTTGCAGGTGTGGTACAACAGTTTCTCAGGAACCTTCTGCACCATTTATTCACTATTTAAGATCCATTAAAAAAAAAAAAGAATTGAAGCATATCCTAACCCTATCACGTAATTTTTTATTTTTTTTTACCTCTGACAGGGTCTCAAATAATAACAGTTTTTTTTTTCTTTACCTCTGACAGGGTCTCAAACCATTAGTGGCAGGAGAGTTGGTATTAGATTCCCAGTACTGGATCATCAAGCGTCCAAAGAAACTACATCAACCCTCAATTACTGGCATTAATTAATTAAAGTACCAACATTATAATATAATCTAATATATAATAATATGCAGATAGACATTAGTTATTTAAAACACACACTGTTGTAGAATTAAACCTTAAAGCTTTTCTTTGGGACTAATATTTTTCAGTTGATGAAGGCAATCTGAACAGTCAGGCATCAAGAACATCACGGTGCGTCTTGAACAAAGTTTGCTCAACACTCTTATCACACCACGGATAAAGCACCTGATTGTGCGGGGTTTTTTTTTACGAGGAAAAGTTATAATGCTAGGACAGGCAGTGCTGTACATACTGACAAGCAAGAGAGCAGAGAAACAGGTGACAAGAAGACCACAGGCCCCCGATTCATAACATCTGTCCGCATAGGTCTCCGTGTCTCTCTTTCCTTCCAGCACTGCCCGCTCTCTCAGTAAAAGGAAGAGAACAGCTGCTCTGAGTAGCCCCCTGGACTCTGTGCCAAGATCCTACACTTTGCACAGATCAACAGCTCCCCAGCCGCAACAAAGGGGATCACTGTGACACTTAGCTCACTGACATAGCACGACGGCTGCGTTGGCTGCCAAAGAATCGCGCTTAAGCCTCAATAGTTACTCTCACTGTCAACAAGCGGAGGGATAAAATCAATCAAATACAGATGGGGGCAAGATTAAATCAACAGTTTACTGTCAGCTTATCGCTGTTTCTCAAAACCAGACAGTCCTCAAAGGAAGAACTCTTCAGGAGATTAGAATTTCTTTTTTTTTTTCTTATTATTTAAGTAGGGACTAACAGAAACTACTTGGTATTTTATTATTGATTCAGTCATTTTAGCTCCGTGGTACTTATGTGTAGAAAATTTAAATTACTGTTAGACTAGAACAGTAAAACAGCCGACGTATCATACTAACTTACTAGTATGATTGATGACATATTGGATTTTCTAAATACTGTAAGTTAGTATGACTGATGACATATTGGATTTTCTAAATACTTTTTTACATTTAGATTAATACATTTACAGACAATGACATCAGCCCATGCAAGAAATTCATATATTCTCTTAAGTGTGACCTGCATGGGCCTTTCAATTACACAAAACTCTCCTTAAAAAAATATGCTTCTTAAAATACATTTGCGTAGCTGAAAGTATTAAAACAATTTTCTTACATTTGACAAAAAATAATTGCAGATAATGTGCAAGGCCCCAAGCAGAGTTTTAATCATCTTGTTTCGAAACTCTTACCTAATTTGGCAAAGACATAATTGGTTGGGTCATAAAATAGTGGCTCCTTGAGGGAACGGCATTCATTTCTGTAAAGCATCGTGAATTGACCTCTGAAGTCGAGCTGAGGATGACTAGGCGAAATAAGCAAACATTATTCGAAATGACGACGATGTGGTCAAACTTGCGATTTGCTAGTGTTAACAGGTGCTGGTTTACTGGCTGCACCGTGGTTCCAAATAGAACAGGGTATGAATGGGAACTTGCTACTGCTTCACTTTGACTGAGCTATAAGAGCACTTTTTTTGATTCTTTACCGATCGGACGACCAAACTATAAGTACGACATACGTTTGAGATTTACGACTGTTAGTGAACAAGAAAAATACATCTGATGTGGTTACGTGGGGTACTGGAATAAATACATAGAGGTGTCAGCTGGTAATTACATCTGATGCACTGTTGCCACGTGAGCCGATTATGGAATTTGGTATACGTTTTTTGATTACTGTCTGTTAACAAGACTGTATAAATTATACAAGCAAGTGTCATTTTATAAATCCCAATCACACCTGAAGAGAGTAAGAGAACAACGGAAACAAGGTGGGGCGACGAACATTATGTAACTGTTGTCCAAGTTGAACCAAGTCGCCGATCTTGCTGAAAGTCACATGACCAATACATCTGTTGATCACATGTGGTGTCCATTGTTTTCTTGTTTTCGCTACATGCAAGTTTGACTTCGAATGTTCAATTGTAATCTGAGCCAAGTTGGAGAACTCACAGTTGAGATGAGAAAAAAAAAATTTTTACAAAAACATGTATATCAAAGCAGCAGATGTCATAGAAACCACAGGGCCTTACAAAATCACCCAGTGCCGCAAGTTTTGTTTGCAGTACCTCACTAAGCACGGTCTGTTGTGTCATCAACAACAGATGCCAAGATGGAGGAGATTGAAGACAGAGATAAGTTCCCAACTTTAACAACACAGAACTGGCTTCGACATAGCTCTGCGTGTCTGCCGTTGTTGCCAAATACAACACACACACTCTTGACAGTGCAAACATTTCAAATTTACAAAGTCCTGCCGGAGTGGGTAGTGGTTCTGGAAACCTTTCTGTTTAAACAGGGCTGACTTGCTGTTGGATTTCGTTTCACAAGTCCTCTGTGCTCAGTCTTGTCTCCAGTGTTTACATGTGCCGTCACAAGATTCCCATTAATGGCTCAATAAAGTAGGAAACCACGTGTTTGTTGCAGTTAAGTAAGCGCTCGAACATTCAACATGGAGGAGGAGCAGAGCTGCAGCTAACGGTGAGAGCTAGCTGCAGCTCTCGACATGCAATCCCGTATGCTGTCTGCAAACCTGGTCCACATTACACACCCCTGAAAAGGAGACACACAGACTGGGTCGTCAACAACAAAACACGCAGCATTTCACGAACACACGCCAGGTCAACTTTACACGGGCGAATCCACTACATGAACTCCCGTTACAGAATATTTCACCGGGGATCGTTTTGACGCCGTTTGAGGTGACGGGCGCTCACCGACGTGAACTTTAATGCACTATGCCTGAACAATAGTGTTGAAGTAAACGAAACAGTGGAGTAGAGTATTCAAACAACACACAATATAAACCGCTGTCGTTGTTTTCTGACGTTAAGAAAGCGAAACGTGTAATCTCCGGAAGCACATGTCACTTGATGAGAGCAGCGCGGAGGAAACTGCAGCCACTCCCCGGGTTTAGTGCAAACGGTCGGCGTAGCCACATACAGAAGTGGCTGTTCCATAGTTGGGAGTTTGTTTAATTTGTTAATATTCAAACAACACGCCCGCGCCTTCAAACTTCAGTGAAACAGACCAATTAACTTTGAGTGACCGTTGTCAATATCTGCCGTTAGCAACGCTAGCATTCCCTTGAAGCTAATTGTGGCTAACTCCCTGAGCTGCGTGTATGCGAATGTTTGCGTGTGTGTGGGTGTGTGTTACTGTCTCTTATCAGCTCACTGTCTACAGTGTTCAGAGAAAAATCAACGACACAGATCGATCACTTGGACTACTTACAGTGTGTCGCCCGTAGTCATTAACCGGCTTTCCGACAGATGGTGATAATCTATGGCGAACGATGAAGTCATGCTCCACACTACAACCGACAGCGTCGTCTAATAATCTAACAATGAGAGGCGACGTCCGCTTGCTTGCTCGCTCGCTCTCTCTCACTCTCTCTCTCTTTCGCTCTCTTTCGCTCTCTCTCTCTCTTTCGCTCTCTCTCTCTCAGGCGGCTCAACTCAACTCTGGTGAGAAGACGAAGCAGAACAGGTGCAGAAAGAGAGAGGACGGAAGAAGGGGAGGAAGGGGGCGTCTTCTTCAGCTTCTTGCGCTGTTGCTGCTGCTTCTGCTGCTTCTTCTGCGTTAAAACTGCATGAGGGAGTGGAGTGGAGGAGGTGATACCGGTTCTCGTATCAATAGAGTTCTATTTATTTATTAATTTCTCCCAATTTCTCCGTTTCTCTCATTCTCGTCCCGGCTTTAAAGAAATGCAGACGGTAGTCTACAGTCACAGCCCACTCTACACTGAGAGAGGCTGGTGCAAAGCAGAGGCGTGGTCTGAAAGAACGCTACTGCTGCTGCTGCTGCTGCTACTGCTGCTCAGCCTCCACCATGTGAAGTTCCTCTGATGATCCCACAGGGACCAGCACATGCTTCTCTATTGGGAGTTTACTGACCTATTTGTAAGATGGTGGTGTTTTCATATGCTACATGGCATCAGCATCCGCATATAATGACACTGCCACTGCTAGACACGAAGAAGAAGAAGAAGAAGAAGAAGAAGAAGAAGCTTTCTACCTTTTCTCCCTTCTTTCCTGCCCTGAGTCAGATGAGGCTTCCTGCGCAGTTGTAGATGATATTTAGCTGCAAAAATGATGACCATGGCCAGTATTATTGCATTTTTTTATGATTAAAAATATTAATGGGTTTTTTTTTTTTCATGACAAGGAGTGGTGTCACTGATTGTGTGTAATCTAATTCACCAAACTCTCTATCACCTTGGAGTGGTTGGCACGAAATGATTTAAAAAAGATTAGACCGAAGTTGAAGTCAGGACCAACACGACTGACTCTACGGGCCGCGCAACGAAGACGTTTGCGAAGTTTGCTAGCAGCCTATCAGACACCATCTTATTATGAATTATTACTGTTACTTAACCTTCACCTTTTTAATGGTCAGCTATAAAGCCAATTAAACATTACTATCATTAAATCAGCTCCAGAGTAACGTTACAATATGAACGGACATGACAGCGCTCAAAAAGAAGAGAAATTACTTTATTCTTTTACCTCCGTCTACCGAGTGAAACGACAGCCACAAAACCACTTTTAAACCCTTTAATCGTATGTCATCGTATGTAGGATCAGAACCACTTTGATTGGTCGGAATAAAATAATAATACTTCATATAGAGCAGGGGTGTCAAACTCATTTTCACCGGGGGGCCCCTCAATGCAGTTCCCCTTGAAGGGCCGGTTGTCAATGGAAGACTATAGATCAGGGGTCCCCAACCCAAGGTCCGCGGGCCAGAACGAGTCCATAGGTCAGGCCGCAGTGGGACAGAGTGAAAAACTGAATTTTTACTAATTTACTTCATTCAAAGAAAATCCAGTCATATCCCTTTACTTTCTTTATTTAAAGATAATCTGGCAATATTTTAAAATAAGAGGTCACGGGGTCAGGGACCGCTGGTATAGATGTAACGACTCCATAACAAACTAATACATGTATCTGCAATTTGTTCAAACTACAAATACTGTTTGTTGTAAAAAAAAAAAAAAAGTTGAATTTCTCAGGTTAAGAAACTCGCAAGGGCCGCATTTGGCCCCCGGGCCTTGAGTTTGACACATATGATATAGAGCCTAAATACATGGTACGGACATCACCATTCTGCTGTAAAAGCTAAATCTAGAGGGTAACAAATAATAAACAACAACAGCGGCCTGGTTTTAAAGCTAGACTGTTTCATAGCAGTTACCGATGACATCAGCATTCATTACTGTTACTAGCCCTTCCTCATGGTTCCAGCTGCTGAAAACTGTGCCATGTAACTAGTAAAAAAAAAAGAAACATTCACTAGATGGTACAAGGAACAGAAGTCAGTCACAACATACGTAGATTTTAATCTCACTAAAACGTTATTACCTTCAAAACTAAAAATATTTGACTTTACCACAGGATGATTGTATAAAATGTCATCAAGTAATAAACAGCTTTTATTTTTGTAGCAATTCAAACCAGTTCATTATATGTGAGGTTTAAATTTTTAAAAAAAAGAAGCTGAAAACTGCAGACTCTCTGTGCAGTTTGTGACTGTTAAGGTTGAACAAGCAGCATTTCCAGACATGAAATATTAAATATTTTCCTACATTGGTGGGTTTTTTTTTTTAAATCGCAACTTTTATTGTTACCATATATAGACTCCTCTCTACCAACTGAATCTCACCGTTTCACACTGTAGAGAAACGCTCCCGAGTGTAGTCTAATGCTGTTATGATCCACTATTGTGAAGGGAGGATGAGGCGGCCATCCCATGATCCTGATTATAAAGGCATTCGTGGTGTTTAAATATAGCATACGGGTCGTTACCACTGAGATTATTCCCGCTGCCCTCTGTTTCCACATTTTCCCCATTGCATTTGATTGAATGCACCTGGCCTTTGTATCATAGTCCAATAGATTATTTCTGGTTTATTTATAGCCTGGCCTTGCTGAGAGGTCCATAAAAAAAAAAAGAGCGAGATGGTTAAAAGGCCGTTTTGGCGCGGTGTCTTTTCTGTCGCCTTTCCCTCGGGGTCATAGTTCGTGCTCCCTGTTGGGATGGGCTGTTGTTCCCCCGGGGGGGAGGGGAGTATGTCTTCTTTT